GTTTGCGTCACCAAGGGAGCAAAAGGGGTGGCAGCTCCTAGGGAGGGTTAAAAAAAAAAAGCTAGATTTTGTATTTTGATTGATTTTTAAAAAAAAACAATATATGGATAGGGTTCAATTTCTGATTCCGCAGGGGTTTGCTCTATTCTATTTCTGATTCAAAGGTTTCACAATGGATTTACGGCGATACTTAAGGCGTTCATGATGATGTATTATTTTGGGCATGGTGACTGATCTTAGCATTTATTCGAAGTTGAAGATTCCCCTATTACCCATACTGGAAAAGGTTCAATGATATGATGATTGCTTGGATGACTATGAACATTTCTAATTTTCTACTAGTGTTTTAGGGTATATGACACTAATAGGGAAACTTTGTTGGACATTAATGAGAGATTTTGGATCAAATAGGTCTAAGTTCATTCAATTTCAAATGACATTAGTTTCATTTCCAAGAGAACTTCAAAAATTGTCTCATATTTCATTAGACTGTGAAGCATTTGGGATGAGATGAACATTCATTATTTATTGGTCATATGCTCTTGTGGCCCCTTTCCCAAGTTTCTAGGAGAACTGAAGTAGTTTTGGTTCCTAACTTGGTTGAATAATTTCTACTCCACATTTATGAGCAATATACTTATGATATCTCCCCTTGCTCTGTGTTAAAACATGCCAAGAAATAGAGAGAGAACTCACACTTTCTTCCTCGTCTGCTCCTTCTGGTGCCGAAGAAGTTTTACTCAAAGAGTCTAATTTAAGGCAACGAAGCATGTCCTTTTGTCTCTTGCAAATATTGCAAGAAGTCAGGACACACTCTTAATAAGTTCATCCAAGAGCAAAATATCAGTCTTTTGTGTCCATATTGATAATTTTACTCCAATACTCTTAGCTTCCACATCCCAATTTGGTGATCATTCAGCACATGAATTTACTCAGAAGCAATAAGAATATCTCATGCCTCTTCCTTCCAAATAATCAAATCTCTCCTAGGTTCAATAATGATGTTTCTTTTGGAGAGATTTAAGACTATGCTCACTTTGCAGGTTTAATTAGTATATTTTTTGTAGTTAATTTTGTGTTTTTTCATGCATATTCATCATTGCAATTAGGGGTAGATACTTGAATCTTTTACTCAGGGGCCGCTAGTCACATGACTCCATTTATGGTGTTTATAAGCTATATCAGTGTATATCACATTGTATTTCCATAAATCTCATGTATACCATATATATATCTGTAAATATAATCCACGATAATCTGTGATTATGTGAAACACCCCACTAATTTGTGTCAAGACTGACAATGCTCTGTCAATCAGTGTTGCAAAAATCAAAATAAAAAATAAAAAATCAAGGATTAGTGCAACACCATCCAGGAACCTTTACTAGAAAATTAGTACGTACTTCTTTTACAGTTTGGATCTATCATGGAGTAAAAGAATACATTGCAGATTAGGATTATTCAAAATATGCCTTCTTGCAATCAACGTTGTGATCAACAGATATATGGTGGCGGATACAGTATGTAAACAGTGGGTTCAACAGCTGTTCCATCAGAATAACATTAAGCAGAGACAGTAACAGGGCAGCTCTCCTTTGGCATGTCAGCTTAAATATATAAGTGCATGCCAATAGAGAGTAGCCCTACCACTGTTTCTCTTATAAATTCAAAAATACATTTTTATTCACCAAACTCTTTTTTTTTTCTCATTTTTCTGCTTCTGTTTCATCACAACAGAGCCTTCCAAGCTTATATAGATCATTCTTTCTCAGTTTAAGAAACGGTATAAACCCATGGAGAATCAGCATATCCTGCCATTTTTATGTCTTCTTGCTTTTTCTAGGGTTAGAAATAGGGAACTTTCTTATCCCTTTTACCATTTCATTTTGTGGCTTTTCGGTTTCCAAATACTAGTCTCACTTGATTAGGTACTTTTTGTGACTACACGAAGTGTGTCACTTGACTCTTTTACAGCATATCCTTGGTCATATTCCTCATTTTCCTCTTCTTTTGTCCATATCGACATTTCTATGTAGGGTCCTTTTTGCCTTTGTGTGGCTTTTCTATTTCCTTGTGTTAGGCTAGTTAATTTTTCAGATCCCAAGTCTTTCAGAAGTTTGGAAACAAAATTGATTTAGCAAAAGTGTTGGACGATAAAATAAAAGTTGGATGGTGCTTTTTGAGTTCTCTCATATTACTCAAAAGTGTCGTCATTTGTTCCAGTTTGCATATCACGCTAACCCGAAATAATTAACTTTTTGTGGAAGTAAAACCTGTTTGCACCTTTCAACACATATGGTATGGTAGTAATTTATGAATTTGCGTGCAAAAAAAACAGTCCTTACGACTTAAGACATTCAAGTATAATGAAGCTGGACAATTGGCGTCCCAGTCTGGATCAATGTTACATAAGAATACATTCATATAATACCATCCTAGTTTCTTGCACCAGCTAGTCTGTCCCTCAAACGTATGCCCCATGTACCTACATCATATCTATATTTATATCAATATCGATATCAATGTAAACTTCTAAATTGGAAAGTTGAATCAGCTGAATATCAATTAATAATTGATAAAAGCCACCTATTTCCAGCAGTTGATAAACAAAGTCGTCGAGTCAGACACTTCAAGAGCCAAACTATAAAAGCCACTGTTTGGAATAAGGGTGTTCATTGTTTGGAAAAGCAAATCACTACAGAGATATATTAGTATAGTATTCTAAAACAGAGATCTTAAGTTCAGCTAATTGGCTACCTGAGCTACATTGCTGATGAGGATTTGATTCCCACCTTGTAATATGTACCGAATTTCCCTTTCTCTACCCCTATGTGATAAAATAGATATAGGAAAAACAATGGACCAAAAATTACTCATAAATTAAAAATATAGTATTCTAAAAGGACAAAGGCGTTTTCATCATGAATGGCTACCATATTACGTTTATGCAGTAGTTATGTGAGGCAATTTGATTGTTTAGTTTTGTAAGTTTAGAGTCATCCTGATCTCGACAAATAAGTTATCATATGACTATTCACATTAATCATTCACAAAAACTGTACTTTATATTTTCAAAATAATTACTTAATTGATACAAAGATGTGTATAACATTACTCGAGATACAAGGGCATTGCAGGTGTCGAGAAACTACTTCATAAAAACGATCAACTTTGGTTTATATATCACTCGGTCTATTTCAATTCATATGTCTTAGTTTTTTTAAGTCTGTTTCAAATAGGAAGTTGCTCTAATTGGACCCTAAACTTGGCTTCAAATTTTAATTTTGACCTCCAACTTTCATAGTGCACAAACAGGCACTTTAACTATCCAACCTTTTAATAAATAAACACGTGAATCCTACTTGGCAAAACGCGTGATGTGCACGTATTCTGCGCGAGTTAGGAGTAATTTTCGAGTCCCACAACAGTAAAAAAATGTTGAAATGACAACTCTACCCCCGGATTCCGGCCAATCTCTGGCAACCCAAAACCTCCGTTCATTTTCTTCTCTTTCAGGCAAAACGCCAACAAATACCCAGCCATTCTCCTTCTTCCTCACACCGGAGCACAACCCATGAAGCGAACGAGCTTCGAGCTCGCTAAACCCACCAAATACCCGACCCCAAACCCATCAGATCCGCCATCTCCGGCGAGAATCCAAATGACCCCCCAAACCCCATGAAAACAGACCCAACAACCACAAACACCTAAACCAAGAAGCCAGCCATCAACAAACCTCTAAGCTCCGTCAAACAATGAGCTCCAAGCTCTAAAAACCATTAGGAGGAATTAATTTTGATTCTTGTATATAAATTAAAATTAATTTTGATTTTTTTTAGTTCTAAAATTACGTGTAAAATATTTAATTAGTTGGCAGCCATTGAGTGGCTCACTAATACACGTTGGAGCGTTTGCATTTCACGCTCTTTGGCTGCAAAAATCGTGTGTTTATTTATTTAAAAGATGGATAGTTAAAGTGTCTGTTTGTGCACTTTGAAAGTTGGAGGTCAAAGTTAAAATTTGAAGCCAAGTTTAGGGTCCAATATATGTATTATGCCTTTTTTTTTCCCTAAATGACAGAGGAGTATTATGTAGTAAAATGTGATAATATTTTATAACTGTCATTTGGCGTGAGAGACTTTTGGCGCTGGTGGAAGAAACTTAAATGGTTTTACTAGTTGTTTGTCTCTCAAAAAGAAGTCTTTTTCAATTTTTACTTGTCTTATTATATAGCATCCAGAATTTGACTGTATTGATATATGCTGCTGCACTTGTTCAGCTTCAACTGTCTTAAAAGTAAACTGGCACAAATGATGACACACTTCGAACTTTTATTATGATTTATGAGAGAACTCAACAAGCACCTTTTTCGAACTTCTATTATGTCTAACTGTCAGGCAAAGGAAGCAGTACTCTTCATTTCCTGGCCTCTAAAAGAGCTGGAATCCTAAAAATTCCATAACATAATCAAGAGTGGAATTAGGGAAATCGAAAAGCCATGTGAATAACAAATATCAAAATTCAAAACCAAATAGAAAACGTAACATGGAAATGTAAAAGAGAAAAGAAGAACAGAAAAAATAAGGAATATGATGAAAGGATATGCTGTATTTCACTCCTTGACTGCAAAAGGCACACACTTCCAAGGCATAAAATCATGCAGCATCAACTTTCAGCAACTTTTTCTTGATGGAATCTGATGAAAATATTTTTAAAGGAGGTGCTTTTAGGAAATGAAATTGTAAAGGATAAGAAAGTTACCACATTTTTTAACTCTAGAAAAAGCAATCCCATAAAGCAAGAAGATATCCGCAAATCACAACTAGAACCAAAATCACATAGGATATGCTGATTCTCTCCAAGGGTTTATACCGTCTCTTAAACTGAGAAGGAATGCCTATAAAAGCATTGAAGGCTCTGCTGTGGTGAACCAGAGAAAGAAGAAAACGAGAGTTGGTGAATGAAAATATATTCTTGAATTTATAAGGGAAACAGTGATAGGGCTACTCTCTATTGGCATGCAATTGTATATTTCAGCTGACACGCCAAAGGAGAGCTGCCCTGTTACTGTCTCTGCTTAATCTACATGCCCTTCGGGCACTCTTAATACAGTGTGATGTCTTGAAGCTATTTTTCTACTTTCTTCAACGTCTACATTGATTTTCAAATCAAATCACAAAGCATGATGAATGTTATTACATTCTAATTTTCAAATTAAATTACAAAGCATTAGTTAATTAGTTATCCATAGTGAGTCGTTCTGTTCTCGTGTTATTCCAAATATCAAGTCTTGTTTACTTTGTTGTGAACCCACCAATAGATTTGAATGCGACTGTGAGATGTATATATTCAAATAAACATTTTCATTTAAAGAGCAGTTATAGCGTTATGAATGATATAACATTCTATTTTTTGTATTTAATCCTCAAATTATTTTTGTTAACTGAAGATTTATACATAGTTCTGATGAACTAGAATGCAACTCGATTGAATATCTCAGACAAGCTGCTTGGATGGTTCAAAAGATTTCCAAAGCTAAGAAATTAACACTTTGGAAATTCAGGTTACAGGATGGATGAGATTCAGGATTACACATTTTCTATCAGGAAAATGTATCAAAAGTTACAAAGTGACTTATCCAAAGGTACTTCAAAATCTTCGGAAGTTTCAAATGTACATTTCAAACTCAGGGAAGTATTCTGGAATTTGAATTAGTTAAGTTTATAATAATGTCTTCTCCAGAAGACTCTAGCCCTGTTAATCATGATATTGGGCAGCTCAACATTGATTCGGAAAAGGCCAACTGGTTCAGTGTTAGGGTTTTGCCCTGATTTTTTTTCCTTATTTGAAGTTTATTTTTTTCCTTAAAAAAAAGTCAAAATATCATATATCATATATTATTATAAGTGGGAAGAATGTTAGGCAAAAGTTAGATTACCATTTTGCCCCTACATTAAATTAAAATGTTATAAACTATTTAATAAATTAAATACTAAATAGTAAATCATCATATTACTACATGAATAATTTATTAATACCTTTTACTAATTAACTTCTAAAATCAAATCAATAATAACAATTAAGCTAGACCAAATACATGATTAGATGTTAGAACTAATTATTTTTCACTTGTCTTCCCACTTTACAATGAGCCTCTTAAAATTTATATATCTGTATAAATCTTCATATTGAGAAGGTAACCAGCTCTCATCAACTCACACTAATTTTTTTTGGAATTTCTTATATTTTTCCTATTTAATTTAATATTAAATGCCTATTAATAAAAAACTATTGTTAAGTATAAGCCGAAAAGACTCACAAATTTTGTCAGTTTCAAGAAGAAAGTCCAAAAGTCTCTTATCCCAAAATTTAAAAGAAGAAGGACCCTGTTGTGTTGGCTCAACCAATGCGTTTGTCACTTTTTGGGGCCTTTTGTGGTGGTAACATGGTTGAAAGGTGAACTTTTTATTTTTGTTTAGATTTATTTAATATCTCAAATAATCACAAGTTCTGCTCAACAAGAAAAACATGTTTAGGCTCCAGTAGCTAATAATACGTTTACATTACTCTATTTGGTCGTTAAATTACTGTGTAACATTGCAGAAGTTAAGCTTTTTTGGATTTATTTTGGATATGCTCTTCTATTTGGTGTCTTTAGCACAAATATTTTTATGGTTGTTTTCCTAATAAACCTTAATGTGATTGCAGTTAAAACGTTGTGCAGAGATGCAGCGCTCCTGAAAATGTATTTCATCTAAATTATTATGTACTATTAAGTGATTAAGTATTAAAAAAAATCTACTCGGCTTTATTTCATTATTTTGGCTTTGTAAGGTTGTGAATAATCCCTTTCACTTGTGTTTTAAGTCAAATAATAATTTCACTTTCAATAGAATTTTACCCATTAATCAATTATAATTATTTGAGGATGCAATTTTGGTACATGTGTAGAAGACTTGAAGGTTATGTTTTTGAAATCTTTTTTTTTGGTTCTTTATGTTTTTATAATTTCTTTGGCTAGGAAACACATGGTTTTTCCTTTCAGTTTCCAATACATTCTTAATATTAGTTTTTTATATTCTTCACTTCTTCATCTATTAGGGAAAAATTATTAACAATTTTTTTTGGTTTCAAATATGTCAACACAACCATATCCAACTACAGAATGAGGTATTTATCTTTTGCTCTTTATATTTTTGCATGAATTCACAGCTTTTGATGTACACGGTTTCTCTTTTTATAAATTAGGCATAAAATGTTAGTTTATTGCACTTTTGTGTTTTATCATCATATAGTTTTAATGTCATTTTTTATTTATTAGTTATCTTTCTTATTTGGTTAATATATTACTTTCTTTAACTTTTTTCATTTTGTTGATTTGATGACATTTATATTTTATTGCTTTTCACATTAATTGAGTTGATGTTACAAATGTTTCAATACATGAGATAAACTTATATAATTTTTATACGGTAATAGAGGTCAAACGTGCAACGCACGTTCCTTGAACTAGTATATATATAAGAGAGAACCTTAGGCCCGCCTACGTGGCGCCACCACAAACCAGAATTCCCTTTTAATTTATTTATTTACAAAACTAGCCTTCCCCTTTTATGAGAAGTTGTGAAATTTATGAAAAGTTGTGATTTTTATGAAAAGTTGCGACTTTAATGAAGAGTTGCAACTTTATGAAAAGTTGTGACTTTTATGAAAAGTTGCGACTTTATGAAAAGTTGTGACTTTTATGAAAGGTTGTGACCTTTCCAAAGGGTTGCAACTTTACCAAATAGTTGTAACATTTCCGATAAGGCACAATAAACATTTGTTCACACTACCATTTGTTGTCTATAAATATAGAGATTTTCTCTCATTTTAAAACAACAAAAATTCTAAACCTCCTCTTCTTCTTCTTCACAATTAAATATTTGTGTACTTTGCTCCTATTGAGTGGCTTACTAACATCATTGCTTATGTTACAGATCCTGGTATGTATTTTTATAATCATTAATAAATGTTTATGTTATTAAGCATAAATGATAAGATGTAATAATTTTCATTTTCCTTTACATTATTAATGTTTGTTGCTACATAATCTTGTATGTAAGATAATATATTGTTTTAGTTTGAATGACTGATAGGTTTTAAATATTATTTTATAAATTCTACGATAATAAATTTCCGTGCGAAGTGCGGGTAATTTTACTAGTTACCATAAATGCTTCAACTTTTTCTCAAAAGGAAAATATAATTTTCTTTCATATTTGGTTTATTATTTCCTTAGAGGAAAAGTTTGGAGATCTATAAATTGAAGATTCCTATTTCCATAGCATAATACAATAACTTCCATAATATAGACGTTTAAGAGTTTAGTTTATGGAGAGATTAATTCTCTCAACAATTTATAATATTTTTCTTTTATATTAGTTTTCATATATGATTTGCAATTGTAAGCTTCCGCATGACACCCTAATCACCTTTATAACCCAACATTCCGCTGCAGCTCAAAGACCATTTTACAGTTGTAACATTAGACTTGTAGTTTTATTCTTAGCCATTTTATGTGTAACTACAAATGCTTGATTCATTTATGAAATAAAGTTTGATACATCAATCATTCTCAATTCCACGAATATTTTGTTTATATAATCTTCTTTCTCTCTCTAGTTAAGCCGGGGCGGGGCATTTCCACCGGGGAAATTTTCATCTAATTTTTGCAAGTCTAATTCTAACATGGTAACATAGCAGGCAAATGAACTATACTAGTTCCTCTCATTAGAGTATCATATCCTCGAAGCTAGATTTTGTATTTTGATTGATTTTCAAAAAACATATATGGATAGGGTTCAATTTCTGATTCAGCAGGGGTTTACTCTATTCTACTTCTGATTCAAAGGTTTCACAATGGATTTACTGTGATATTTAAGGCGTTCATGATGATGTATTATTTCGGGCAAGGTGACCGATTTTAGCATTTATTCTAAGTTGAAGATTACTCTTACTTGGAAAAGGTTCAACGATATGATGATTGCTTGGATCACTAACTCCTTATCTAGGAACATTTCTACTAGTGTTTAAGGGTATATGACTCTAATAGGGAAACGTTGTTGGACATTAATGAGAGATTTTGGTCAATCAAATAGGTCCATGTTCATTCAATATCAAATGACATTAGTTTCATTTCCCAGAGAACTTCAAACATTGCCTCATATTTCACTAGACTGTGAAGCATTTGGGATCAGATGAACATTCATTATGTAGGGGTCATCTCTCCTACGTTCAATAATGATATTTCTTTTGGAGAGATTTCTGACTAGGCTCATTTTGCAGGTTTAATTATATTTGTTGTAGTTAATTTTGTGTTTTTTCATGTATGTTCATCATTGCAATTAGGGGTAGATACTTGGATCTTTGACTCAGGGGCCCCTAGCCACATGACTCCATTTATGGTGTTGATAAGCTATATCAGTGTATATTAATTGTATTTCCATATTTCTCATGTATACCATATATATCTGTATATATAATCCACGATAATCTGGGATTTATGTGAAACACCCCCTAATTTGTGTCAAAACTGACAATGCTCTGTCAATCAGTGTTGCAAAAATAAAAAAAAATAATCAAGGATTAGTACAACACCATCCAGGAACCTTTACTGGAAAATTAGTATACCATAGGAGTCTTTTACAGTTTGGATCTATCATGGAGTAAAAGAATATATTGCAGACTAGGAATATTCAAAATATGCCTTCTTGCAATCTACGTTGTGATCAACAGATATATAGTAGCATCAAGTACATCGTGCCACCCTGATGTAAATTTAGTTTCAGGTTTTAGAGAAGAACATATTAACTCAGCAGCGGTGGATAGATTATGTAAACAACTTTTGCATCAGAGTTATAACATTAAGCAAAAACAGTAACTGCGCAACTCTCCTTTGGCATTTCATCTGAAATATGTGATGAATAAATAACCTCATGCCAATAGAGAGTATCCCTATCACTGTGTCTTCTTGTTAGAGAAGAACATAGTGACTTACCACTTGCGGATACAGTATGTATTGCATCAGAAATACACTAAGCAGAGACAGTAACAGGGCAGCTCTCCTTTGGCATGTCAGCTTAAATAGATCACTGCATGCCAATAGAGAGTAGCCCTACCACTGTTTCCCTTATAAATTCAAGAATATATTTTTATTCACCAACTCTCTTTTTTCTCATTTTTCTGCTTCTGTTTCATCACAGCATTGCCTTCCAAGCTTATATAGATAATTCCTTCTCAGTTTCGAATACGGTATAAACCCATGGAGAATCAGCATATCCTGCCCTTTTTGTGTCTTCTTGCTTTTTCTAGGGTCAGAAAATGGGGAACTTTCGTATCCCTTTTACCATTTCATTTTGTGGCTTTTCGGTTTCTGAATGCTAGTATCACTTAATTAGGTGTTTTTTGTGACTATGAAGTGTGTCACTTGACTCTTTTACAGCATATCCTTGGTCATATTCCTCATTTTCCTCTTCTTTTGTCCATATCGACATTTCTATGTTATATGTAGGGTCGTTTTTGCTTTCGTGTGGCTTTTCGATTTCCTAGTGCCAATCTTATTTAATTAGGCTAGTAAATTTTTCAGATCCCAAGTCTTTCAGAAGTTGCAAAACAGAATTGATTTAGCAAAAGTGTAGGACAAAATAAAAGTTGGATGGTGCCTTTTGAGTTCTCTCATATTACTCAAAAGTGTCGTCATTTGTTCCAGTTTGCATATCACTCTATCCCGAACTAATTAACTATCTGTGGCAGTTTAAAATCATTTTGCACCTTTCAACATGTGCGGTATGGTATTAATTTAGTGAATTTGTGTGCAACAAAAAACAGTCCTTACAACTTAAGACATTCAAGTATGATGAAGCTGGACAATTGGCGTCCAAGTCTGGATCAACGTTACATAAGAATATTTTCATATGATACCATCCTAGTTTGTTTTTTCCACCGGCAAGATTCTCATGCAGAATTTCTGCCCCATATAGCTGTGTTGCACTTCATATATAAGACGCGGCAAGAGCTAAGGGGTTCAATTGAATCCTATAGAAATAGGAAAAATGAGTTTTTAATTATTACATATATATATAAATTGTTGAATCTCGTTGATACTAGGGAAAATTGTAGTGCGATTTCAAAGCGATTCAATGTGATGTTCTAGTATTTTTCTTGAATTCCTTGCAGCCTGCTTCTGATAAGACCAGCCTAGCTAGTTTCTTGCACCAGCAAGTCTGTTCCTCAAACCTATGCCCCATATACCTACATCACATATATATTTTATCTATATCAATATTATTTGAAAGTGAACTTCTAAATTGGAAAGCTGAATCATCAGAGTATCCTTCTAAATAGTTAATCTGAATATACATCCTACTTATAGATTAATTAAATGGTGTCAAGTAGTGTATAATTGATAAAATCCACCTATTTCCAGTAGCTGATAAACAAAGTCGTCGAGTCAGACACTTCAAGAGCCAAACAATAAAAGCCACTATTTGGAATAAGGGCGTTCATTATTTGGAGAAGCAAATCACTGCAGAGATTTCTAAAACGGAGATCTTAAGTTCAGTTAGTTGGCTACTTGAACATTTACATTGCTGGTGATGATTCGATTCCCACCTTGTAATATCCTACTCCAATTCCCCTTTTCTATGCCTATGTAATAAAAAAAGATATAGGAAAAACAATGAACAAAAATTAATAATAAATTAAAAATACATCATATTCTAAAAGGACAAAGGTGTTTTCATCAAGAATGTCTACCGGATTGTGTTTAGGCGGTAGTGATGTGAGGTAATTTGATTGTTTAGTTTGGTAGTTGTTTGTCTGTTGCAGCTCAAAGACCATTTTACAGTTGTTTGTCTGTTGCAGCTCAAAGACCACTGGTACAGCTGCAGCTCAAAGACCATTTTACAGTTGTAACATTAGACTTGTAGTTTTATTCTTAGCCATTCTATGTGTAACTACAATAAATTAGGTCTAAGTTCATCCAATTTCAAATGACATTGTTCCATTTCCCAGAGAACTTCGAACATTGCCTTAGATTTCACTAGACTGTGAGCCTTTGGGATGAGATGAGGGGTCATGTGCTCTTGTGGCCCTTTGCCCAAGTTTGTAGAAGAACTGAAGTTGTTTTGGTTCCTAACTTGGTTGAATAATTTCTACTCCACATTTAAGAGCAATATACTAATGATATCTCCCCTTCCCTCTATTAGCAGATCGTACTCCGTGTTAAAACATGACGAGAAATAGAGAGAGAACTCACATTTTTCAGGCTTCTCCACTAAATCAGCCTCATTTTCTTCCTCGTTTGCTCCTTCTGGTTCCGAGAGAAGTTTTACTCAGAGAGTCTACTATAAGTCAGCGAAGCATGCTGCAAATATTGCAAGAAGTCAGGACACACTCTTAATAAGTTCATCCTTTTTCCTCTGTCTTCAAGTTCACTAAGAGCAAAATATCAGTCCATGTTGATAATTTTACTCCAATACTCTTAGCTTCCATATCCCAATTTGTTGATCATTCAGCACATGAATTTACTCCGAAGCAATAGGAATATCTCATGCCTCTTCCTTCCAAATAATCAAATCTCTCCTAGGTTCAATAATGATGTTTCTTTTGGAGAGATTTCTGACTATGCTCATTTTTCAGGTTTAATTAGTAGTATATTTTTTGTAGTTAAATTTATGTTTTTTCATGCATGTTCATCATTGTAATTAGGGGTAGATACTTGAATCTTTGACACAGCCACACAGGGGAAGACTCCATTGATGATATTTATAAGCTATATCAGTGTATATCACATTGCATTTCTAATGAAATTGGAATTGTGACTTAGATAAAATAGATTAGTTGATCATTAGTGCTAACATTAGTTAGTTAACACTAGAAGATTCCTAACAGAGTTAGTTAGTTTGTTAGTTAGTTAATGCTTTACAACTGTCAATAGAATAGGACTAGATGTGTATATAAGGGAAACTTTAGTGTATTCTCTATGTAATTCAATTCACTATGTACTGATTTATCTTCAATGAAGATGCTTCTTTCTGTTCTCTAGTCTCTCTTCATAATACATTGTTATCTGCATTTGCTATTTTGTATCTTGGTATCAGAGCATTGCGACCATTAATATGATCTAGATTAGGTGCGTAAACAAGGAAGAGCCGGAGAATCAATGGCAGTCGTGATTGATAATGAATTACCTGAGAAATTAGGTCACAATCATTCGTTGTTTTTGAACAATTTAGATACATCTGGAGTAGTTCTAGTCTCTATTCAATTGACAGGATCAGAAAATTATTCTGTATGGAGTCGGTCGATGAGAATCGCCATACTTGGACGAAACAAGTTGGGGTTAATCGATGGAAAATGCAGAAAAGAGAATTTTGGTCCAAATCTGAAGGATCTGTGGGAACGTTGCAATGCAATAGTGCTCTCATGGATCATGAATTGTGTTTCAAAGGAATTGTTAAGTGGGATCGTGTATTCATCTGATGCTTGTGCAGTATGGAATGATCTTAAAGAGAGATTCGACAAGGCAGATTGTTCAAGGATCTTTCAACTACATAGAGAAATTGTGACTCTATCTCAAGGAACAAGCAACATTTCTGAGTATTTCACAAAATTACCACTACGTTGGGCAGAGTTCGATTGCTTAGCTCCATTTCCCAATTGTAATTGTGAAGGTGCGCGAGGTTTTGTAGAATTCATAAGCAGACAAAAGCTGTTGCAATTTCTTATGGAACTGAATGAAACGTATGAACAGGCTAGAGGTCAAATTTTGATGCTTATCGCAATTCCTTCTGTAAATCAGGCATACTCAATGATGATTGAAAGAGAGAGCCAAAGGAATATGGCTATTGTTATGGGGTCAACTATGAATATGGATATTGCTGCTTTTATAATTAGAAGGAACACACAACATCCCAAGATTAAGAAGAATTGGAATGTCCAGTGTGATTACTGCAAAAACATGGGTCATGCCAAAGTCGATTGTTATAGACTCATTAGTTACCCACCAGATTTCAAGTTTAAGAAGAAATTTGGAAATCAGAATGAGCATAATGTACGGGGAGGAGATCAGAGGACACAGACTCAGGCTCATTTTGTGAAGAATGATACTGGAAGGATGTACAATGATGAAGGAGGTCCTAGTCGAGATGCTTACAATGAATCCCATAGAGATTTACCCAATAATAATCAGAATAGAATGATGTCTGATAGTCACATAGGGGGAGGTCCTTCTGGTACACACTCAGGAGATTGGTACAGAGGACCCGGTCCTTCTAACTATGCTCAAAATCAGTACAATCAAATACAGCATCACATGGATAATCCACAACATCATGCTCAATTTCAGAGGTTAACTGGCAAGGAGAATATGGGAGAATCTTCAGCCAACATGAGCAATTTCGCATAATCATCCAACATGGGAGGTAATGCCTTTGCTTCACATGCAAGTAATATATTTCATCCTCCTATAGATGCATCTAAAGAGACTTGGATCATAGACACAGGAGCCTCTAATCACATGATCTCTAATAAGAATATGTTGATAAATGAAGTGAAGATTCCTGTTAGTGATAGTAATAGACAGGTTCACTTACCCAATGGTGGTTCAGTAGCTGTTTCGAATATTGGTACTTGTGAAGTTATTGATAGACAAACAGTGAGCAATGTTCTATACATTCCAGATTTTAGATTTAATCTAATGTCTGTTTCCAGCCTAACTAAGGAGTTACAATGTTCAGTCACCTTTTTCCCTAACTTTTACGTATTCCAGGACCTCTCAAGTGGGAAGGTGTTGGAGATTGGTGAAGAACATAAGGGACTCTATCTGATGCAACATAAAGAACCAGTCCACACTAATAACCAACCTCTTAGAGGGATGATAGCAATTAAGAATAAAGTTGACATCTTGTTGTGGCACAGGAGATTGGGTCATGCATCCATTGGAGCTATGAAACAATTATTTACTCTTGATCACAATGAATGTAAACATGCTCTAGATAGTTGTGAAATTTGTCCTCTTGCTAAACAAACTAGAATGCCTTTTCCTATTAGTGTATTCTAGAGCAACTTGTGTTTTTGATTTACTGCATTTAGATGTTTGGGGACCATTTCATGTACCTACTTTCGATGGGAATAAATTGTTTCTCACAATTGTGGATGATCATTCTCGAATGACTTGGGTCTACTTATTGAAGTTAAAAAGTGATGTTGTCATAGTCCTGAGATCTTTCATCCAGTTAGTACTTACTCAGTTTGGTAAAACTATAAAGATAGTGCGGTCAGACAATGAAACAGAATTTGTAAATTCAGAATGTTACTCCTTGTTTCAATCATCTGGGATCATACACCAAAAATCTTGTGTTTATACCCCACAACAAAATGGGGTAGTGGAGAGAAAGCACCGATATATTCTGGAGTTAGCTCGAGCAATTAGATTTCAAGGTTCCATTCCATTGACATTTTGGGGACACTGTGTATTGGGTGCTGTTTATATGATGAACAGATTGCCATCTGTATTCTTATCAGGAAAGACCCCTTTTGAAGTGTTTCATGGCTGCAAAGGGTCTTTAGATCATTTCAAGACTTTAGGTTGTTTGTGCTATGCCAAAATCTTGCCACCAGGGGATAAATTTGCACCAAGAGCAATACCTGCTGTTCATATGGGATACTCTGAGGTCTCTAAGGGCTATGTTTTGTACAACTTGGATACTCATAGTTTCTTTATTTCCAGATATGTGAGTTTTAAAGAAGAGATTTTTCCTTTTAACGCTCATGTCCCCTCTCATCCTGTGTTTCTAGATTCTTCAACAGCTGATGCAACTGATGATTTTCAGCCAGTCATACCACCAGACCCTACAGGTACAGAAGCTGTTATTCAAATGTCAAACTCACTGATGCATTAATAGCTTCTGGTTTTGTGCAGAGTAGTTTGGATCACTCATTATTCATCAAAAGACTTTATGGACATATTGTAGTAGTGTTGGTATATGTGGATGACATGTTGGTAGCTGGTAGTGACCTAAGGTTGATTGAGCAAACTAAGGAAGAACTACATGCTAAATTCAAAATCAAAGACCTTGGAACTTTGAGGTATTTTTTGGGGATAGAATTCAGTAGATCATCCAAAGGGATACTAATGAACCAAAGAAAATATGCCCTTGAAATGATAGAAATGATAGAAGAATTGGGGTTGACTGGTGCCAAGCCATCATAGACACCTTTAGCTATCAACTTGAAATTAACAACAGTTGAGGTAGACAAAGCATCAGGAGTAACAGATGATCCTTTCTTAACAGATATAGGATCCTATCAAAGACTAATTGGCAGACTATTATATTTGACATTGACTAGGCCAGACATTGGGTTTGCAGTACAGACATTGAGTCAATTTTTACAAGGGCCAAAGAAGTCACATATGGAAGTTGCTATCAAGGTTGTTAGATATATAAAAAGAGAGCCTGCAAGGGGTATTCTATTCAGCAGTAAAAGGGAGAACAAATTAGTAGCATATTGTGATGCAGATTGGGCATCATGTCCAAACACAAGGAGATCTGTAACAGGGTTCTTGATCAAGTATGGAAATTCACTAATATCGTGGAGGTCAAAGAAACAGACAACTATTTCAAGGAGCTCAGCAGAATCAGAGTACAGAAGTATGGCATCTACAGTTTCAGAATTAGTATGGATCATTGCACTGTTTAAAGAACTTGGAGAGGAACTGGAAATGCCAGTGGATCTTTTCTGTGACAGCAAAGCAGCTTTGCAAATAGCAGCAAATCCGGTATATCATGAGAGGACAAAACATATAGAGATTGATTGTCATTTTATTCGAGAAAAGATACAAAAGGGGCTGATCAGACCATTATACTTGACAACACATGAACAACAGGCAGATATAATGACAAAAGGGTTGATCAGGTCACAACATGAATACTTAGTATCCAAGCTAGGCCTTTTGAATGTATTCACACCAGGCAACTTGAGGGGGAGTAATGAAGTTGGAGTTGTGACTTAGATAAAATAGATTAGTTGATCATTAGTGCTAACATTAGTTAGTTAACACTAGAAGATTCCTAACAGAGTTAGTTAGTTTGTTAGTTAGTTAATGCTTTACAACTGTCAATAGAATAGGACTAGATGTGTATATAAGGGAAAACTTTAGTGTATTCTCTATGTAATTCAATTCACTATGTACTGATTTCTCTTCAATGAAGATGCTCCTTTCTGTTCTCTAGTCTCTCTTCATAATACATTGTTATCTGCATTTGCTATTTTGTATCAATTTCCATATATCTCATGTATACCATATATATCTGTATATATAATCTGTGATTGATATATGATACATACCACGTGATATACGCATATGGCAGTGATGTCAATGAAATCAGTGCGTGATATACACTTGAGTTATTTTAATAGAAAAAGTATTAATCACACACACTAACGGCTTATTATCAGCTTCAATATTTTTATTCAAATACATAATTGTTTATTTATAAAATCATCTTCCACAATTTTATCCAAATATATGACTGATCATTTATAAAATCAGCTCAAGCACCTAAAAATATTTCTCACCACTTGATTCTTTTCTGTTATATGTCAAATGGAAGGGAAAAAAAAGTAGTTAATGCAAAACTAATATGCTACGAAAATTGAAGGAAATGATTTTCTGCAACGCAGTAAAAAATAGTTTAATTTCTTTTTTAATTAGAAATATAATGGGAAAAAGGTCTGAAATATATCCGAACTTTGACCGAAATTGTTGTTATAATACCGAACTTTGGAAAGGATCTTTTACCCCTCTGCACTATTTAATAGTGTATTTTAAAGGTATATATGTGCCCACGTGAACATCATAAATATTGTATCATTATAAATAGTAATGTGTCCACGTGGACACATATATACCTTTAAAACACACTATTAAATAGTGCAGGCGGTAAAAGGTCGTTTGGTATCGTAACAGCAATTTCGGCCAAAGTTAAATAAAATAGATTAGTTGATCATTAGTGCTAACATTAGTTAGTTAACACTAGAAGATTCCTAACAGAGTTAGTTAGTTTGTTAGTTAGTTAATGCTTTACAACTGTCAATAGAATAGGACTAGATGTGTATATAAGGGAAAACTTTAGTGTATTCTCTATGTAATTCAATTCACTATGTACTGATTTCTCTTCAATGAAGATGCTCCTTTCTGTTCTCTAGTCTCTCTTCATAATACATTGTTATCTGCATTTGCTATTTTGTATCAATTTCCATATATCTCATGTATACCATATATATCTGTATATATAATCTGTGATTGATATATGATACATACCACGTGATATACGCATATGGCAGTGATGTCAATGAAATCAGTGCGTGATATACACTTGAGTTATTTTAATAGAAAAAGTATTAATCACACACACTAACGGCTTATTATCAGCTTCAATATTTTTATTCAAATACATAATTGTTTATTTATAAAATCATCTTCCACAATTTTATCCAAATATATGACTGATCATTTATAAAATCAGCTCAAGCACCTAAAAATATTTCTCACCACTTGATTCTTTTCTGTTATATGTCAAATGGAAGGGAAAAAAAAGTAGTTAATGCAAAACTAATATGCTACGAAAATTGAAGGAAATGATTTTCTGCAACGCAGTAAAAAATAGTTTAATTTCTTTTTTAATTAGAAATATAATGGGAAAAAGGTCTGAAATATATCCGAACTTTGACCGAAATTGTTGTTATAATACCGAACTTTGGAAAGGATCTTTTACCCCTCTGCACTATTTAATAGTGTATTTTAAAGGTATATATGTGCCCACGTGAACATCATAAATATTGTATCATTATAAATAGTAATGTGTCCACGTGGACACATATATACCTTTAAAACACACTATTAAATAGTGCAGGCGGTAAAAGGTCGTTTGGTATCGTAACAGCAATTTCGGCCAAAGTTAAAGTATTTTTCAGACCCTTTTCCCAAATGTAGATGGAAAAAAGAATATGACAGAGGATATGCTGTTTGAAGGTCTTTTGCAAACCTTTTTTTTTTTCATTTCACCTACAAATTCATGGAGAAGGCAACTGGGGAATCTGATGAACATATTTTTTAAAGTATCTTTCACCAAATGGAATTGTAAAGGGATAAGAAAGTTACTCCCATTTTCTGGCCCTAAAAAAAGCTAACACAGGCTATAGCATAAAAATCACAGGATATGCTGATGCTCCAATGGTTTATTCTGTGTCTTAAATTGAGAATGAGTGCTCTATAAAAGCGTGGAAACGCTCTTTTGTGATGAATCAGAAGCAGAAAATATGAGAAAGACGAGTTATTATAAGTGAAACAGTGATAGGGCTACTCTCTATTGGCATGCAGTTTGTCACACATTTCAGCTGACACGCCAAAGGGGAGCTGCCCTATTACTGTCTCTGCTTAATCTTAAACGAACAACTTTGTTAATAGTTGATTCTGTAGATTCTCGAACACCCACACTTGGATCTCAAACGTCTACACTCTACATTGGTTTTAATTTCTACTACGTAAAAGAAGAGGCGGAGTCAGCATACTGGCACCCCCTTCGGTTAGTTCGTGTGTTTAATTTTGAACCCCTTATTAAAAAATTTAACTTCACCATTGCGTATAAGAGTAGGAGAGAATTCACTACAAAATGGCAGTATGTTTTTTAGCTCAAATTCAAAGTTGAAAACAGACTTGAGGGAGGTTGGGTGAAGAATTTGAAATTCATTATTGTTGGACCTTGAAGAAACAGATCATATGTTACATGTATATCATATGCATACATTTTAAATATAATCTACCCACGTCACGTGAATCAGTTATATACATGATATACATATAATTAATTTTCTTTAATAATTATGTTTGCATATTCATTTGATTAGGCTCACTGTAATTTTTCAGGAAGAAAAGAAGATGCAATTACCTACTTTTTTTTATTATCTTTTGACGGACAATTACATACAAATTCTATTTTATGCTATTTCAAATGAGTCTTTGTGCATATTTTCGTTGAAAACCAGCACAAGTAATCCTCTCCTGCGTACTAGATCGAGGATATTCACAAAAACTATTTTTGCTATAATTTTTTGGGAAAATTTCATAAATAGGTAAAATGTGAAATATAATAGGCCTCCTTATTTAGAGTTTGTCTATTTACGTAGGGTAGTTATAGTTTAATGGCTAAACTGATTCGCGTTTGTATGATTCAGATTTTTTTAATTGATTATACAAATTAGGGAAAAGGGTCTGATATACCCTTCAACTTTGTCATTTAAAGTTGATATGTCCCTCATTAAAAACTGGCTCATATATATACCCTATTGTTATACAAATGGCTCGCATATATACCCTTTTCCTCTAACGAAAGTGAAAAAAATATTTTGATTTAATTTTTTAATTATGTTTTAAAAAAAATCCATATGGGGTATATTTGATCCTCCACATGCATATTTTTTTTATTTATTACCAAAAAAAAAAAAGGAAAATGATCCCTTAATTTATGGTTATTATATCTAATTAGAATTCCTTGCCTAATATGACTTCTTCTTTTTTTGACGGAAAAAACACGACCCGCTGTATATAACAATTGTAAATGTATATAATTGAATCGAATTGTAAGAAAAAAAATTGTAGTTGAAGTATATCTATTTGTATAAGCAATATGATATATAGCAGTTTCTATATGTTTATGAATAAATTTATAATAAGTTTTTGTATAAATTGAGTTGTATAAATCAAACAAGTTGTTATGTATATTGTATTGTAGTTAAAGTATATAAAGCATACTTGTATGTGTCTTAAAATTATGAAATATATACAAATAAAGCATATTTTAAACCAAAGATATATACACATAAAATACCTAATATTTTTAGTTGTGTAATTATACAATATTGGACTAGCATAATTATAATTTTCAAAATTTGAATTTTTAAAATTGGCTGAATAAAATTTTCAAAATTTTAATTTTAATTTTAATTTGATTAAGTTATTTAATTAGGAGAAGTGAGAGATTTTAGGAGATAGATTAGTGGGTGTGGTAAGAGAGACTGAGAGAGTGTTTTGATTTGTATAAAAGATGAAAGACAAACTTACATGTTTTGACACAAATGGGACCCATTAACTACCATATGTTAGCTTAAATATGTAATTTTCCCTAAATTTTATATATTTCATGATTAAAGATATAAATTCTTAGCTATAACCTGAAAATATTGATAGTATATACTTAGCCTCAACACATATTTACGATGTTTTTAATTTGTAACGGAATACAAGTACAATTGTCACCAGATTAAGCTTAATTTGTAATGGAATACAAGTACAGTTGTCACCAGATTAAGCTATAAAAATAGCAAACAAAATTTGAATTTGTGACAAATAATCTTTTTTTTCTTTATTACGATGCAATATCTTGTGGCTACTAAATTTCAACACTGATGGGCGATTAACATCATTACTCAACACCCAAAGATAATCTTACCTATAAAAGTATATGTAATTAATCATGACCACATAATGTGCCATTCATATGACATGTGATTTTCTTCCTTTTAAAAAATGCTAACTACAATTATTTATGGAGGGAGTCTAATCAGAATACCTTCATGAATTTCATATTCGAATAGCACCAAATCTTTCTAGTGGTCCTTAAGCACTGCCTAAATTTTGGCTATACATAGTGGATGGATTAGACTGAATATGAGTGGATTAAAATAAATTGAGTTAATAATAAACATGTTATTACTTGAGTTAAAATTAATCCAATCAAAATCAGATAAATAATGGGTCATAGGCTCATAGCTCAAGACTCACGTCATTCAACTCTTTCCATGATTAAGTTCTTTGTTATTTTTTATAATTTATTTAATTACCTAATCAAACTTCTTTTTTTTAATTGAAATTTTCAGGCCTTTTATTGATGAGAAGGAAGAGAACAGACAGAGGGGGAAAGCTAGTGGGAGAGTCCGCGACCAACCAAACTATATTGTTGTTGAACGGCACATAATTATGGATTCAAAAGAATATTTTCGTCTGAAAAATTATTACTATGCAAATAACGTTAATTATATGTATAAGTTTGTCGAATTATTTTTAACCCCTACTCCAAGAGCTCTCACATTTACTCTCTTGGTGACTCGAATTCACAACCTTAACATTGGTAATTTATTTCTGTATTTCTTCCTTTGAGACTCTCTTGTTAAGGGGGAGTTAACATCTATTTGATTTACTGGGTTTGAAATTTATTAGTTGTACACTTTTAATAAATTTATATGTAAATACCTAATTTGAGTTAAAACTATTGAAATGAGATGAAATTGTATTTTATATATCGCATCAGTCAACTCCTAAATAAGATACAAACTACAGAAACGTATTTGCACACTTATCTTAAAAAATAGAAGCACATCACACCATCAGCAATATTTTACGTACTGAATGGCTCTGTTTTTTTTTCTTTTTTAAGAATCTCTTAGCCTTCACCGTTAGAAATTAGAATAGGAAAAAAAATGACATTTAGCTTTTATGTATAAAAAAATAAAAAATAAAATTATAAAAATATATAGAAAATTATTTCTCCGAATTTAATCATTTAGGGTGTTTAGTATGAAGGAGAATATTTTTTTCTTAAATGTTTTCTTGTTTTTCCATATTTGATCGTATAAAAACTTTGAAAACTATTTTCTTCCAAAAAATGAATTTCTTAAAATAAGAAAATTGATTTTGATTTTATTAATATAAATTCTATCAGTGAAATTCTATTTTATTGTATCATCCTACCCACCATCCAATGCTCCAAACTCCGATTCGTTAACCATCCATCTGCACAACCATCGACCCCCCACCCTGCCCCTCTTCTACCTTTATAGTTTTTGTTAGATTACGTATAAAGTTTTTGATTTGCTAAATTATTGATCAAATATTAAACATTAAGTAAATTAGAAAATATTTATTTTTCAAAAATAAATTCTAGAAAAATATTGTCCCGTTTGTACCAAACACCCCCTAATGTCCTTAAGCTTTAAGTTGCCTAATCATGGGTGAACCAGCTACAATAGAATAGGACAAGAGATAACATTAATTAAATGAATACAGCATGAGTTTTAAATAAACCCGTCTTTGTTTTTTGAAAGTAGATTAAATACACAACACATATTTTGGGCCAACATCATATCCCAGAGTGTTAAAATTTAAATGTTGCAATTCATATAAAATAAGAACTTTTTTAACTTCATCATATGATGAGTCTACATTCAAGGAATCTCTATTTCAAGCATTATATCAAATGTATCTGTCTTAATTCTATCATGGGACTATATAACGATAAACGTAACCAAATGAATTTTAGGTCGAATTCAATTTTAGGAGGATTGTCGAAATATATATACGAAGATTAAAAAAATTCCATCTAACATAACATTTTTCAATATTATCTTCAGACTTCACCTCACGTCCAGAATTGAACATCTGATGCATGTATAATAGATAATTTAATATGGTGGGGGGCCTAACATTGATACATAATAATTGAGATGAATCTTTCTCTAATACTTGTAAATACATGAATTTTAGATCTAATTTAATCCTAAAAGTTAACTTACGAAAAAAATAAATTTATTCAAATTCATATAAGATATTTATTTATTTATTTGGATGTAGAACTTTTCAACAATGTAGAGAGAACAAAGTGACATATGACCTCTCGGGAAAACATATAAGCATGTGGTTATGGATTGATTTGTTATTGTACATTTCTATTGTTTTAATTTATTTGTTTAGTTTAATTGGCAAGAAATTTAAGTAACTAGAAAAAAAAATTAAAATTTTTTATTTTAAATTAAAGATATTTAAAACTTAATTTTGTGGTTTTTATAAACATATCATATGAAAAGTTAAAACTAAAAATTTATCAAAAAAATATATTTTGGCTTATATAAGTTAGGAATTCTAATTTATGACTTTTTATTAATAGCGTGTTTAGTCAAGCTTATTTTTTTCAAAAGTGAGTGTTTGACCAAGTTTTTGGAAGAAAATAAATATTTTTAAAGTGTAGAGAAATTGTTTTAGAAGCTAAAAAAATAGCTTTTCCCTAAAAGCCTTTTTTAAGAAAAATATACTTAAAAGGATTTTTAAAAGCTTAATCCAACACTAATTATTGCTCAGAAGTATTTTTAAATTTATTTGTCAAACACGAACTATATTCGCCAAAAGTATTTTTTTGAAAATATTTTTCAAAATAAGCTGATTTTAGAAGTTTGTCCACAAAAGCTATTATTTTTGGCTTTTTAATTTTATAATAAGTGTGTAAAAGTACTTCTTTTAATTTTATTTAAATAGTACTACAAAAATGTTTAAAAGTTATTTTTATTTGAAAAAAAAAAACTTAAAATAAGTCAACTCAAACATGCTTTAAAAAGATAAATAAGATAAGCAAATTAAAATCAAATAAATATTAACTTAACCTTATTATAAAAATCCATAAATTTTAATTAAATTATGAATCCACCTCTACAGTCAAATCAAATTTCTTTTTAAATTGTAATCCAAAATCTATCTTCTTTAAGCTGTGCTTTCAATGATCTTTCTCATTAATTAGCTTTTATATTATACTTGCTGTCAACAGATTATCTGTTTTTCCTATTTTTTCCATACAATTAAGTACACGTAGGATGAGAAGAACATATGCTCAACCGCAAGCACAATATTAATATTAAATGGGAGTAAAATAGTGATCTGACCAAGAAAATAAACAAAATTAAAATGAGTACAAAATAGGTGATTTTTCTCTTTAATTTTTTCCCAAATCAATTGATAAACCACCTTAATTTTAAAATTAGTAGTTCCTTGACCCTTATTATGAGTTTCTTTGCTACTCCTACGAAATTATCCAATATTCCGTTACACGCACTAAAAGCTTCTTTTTCTTCTTTTGTGTATTAATGACAGAATAATAATCAAAATAAACAGAATCAAAAAAAGAAACCATTATGAAAATGAATTAGATAGTTTTACTTACTTTTCTTGTTTTTCCACATCTTTCATGTCATATCGTAGTTTTACATTATTTTTTCAAAGTAATCTAGCGAATTAGATTTTAAAAAGGTAGTATAATAAGAACGCTTAAGTTTATCAGTAGAGACCGTTTCTCTCAAATGGATTCTATGCCGATGAATTCAAATTAGTCAGATTTCTATGCAGATATCATATTCGAATGAAAAATCAAAGCAAAATTCATCATGTGTTTTGTGATTTGAGTGAACCAGAAGTGAAACAAATATAAAAACAGAGAGAAGGGTTTAATTGTTCTAAGAATCAAAGAAAAGGGGAATAACAGAGAAAGAGCAAAAGATATACTTATCTAATGAAATTACAAGATCTTTTTAACCTCTATAGCTCAAGTCTCAACTCCACCATCTTTAAATCTTTATTCTTATCATTCATTTACAGAACCCCAAAAGTAAAAAAAAAAAACAGTTTAATTCCCATGAGAAAAATCTAATCTCCGCGAGCAAAACAGAGTAGTCTCTGCTCTGCTCGCAGGATTTAGGGAAAACAAAAACCTCATTAAATTACAGAAACAGTATATCTATGATCTGTTCCTAGGAGTGATTTTGATTACAAGACCAGGAAAAACATCATCAGGATCATGAATATGTGGATTCTCCTCAACAATAAAAGGATCACCACACTTATCACTAATCGTATGTAACGTTTCTCCTTCTCTGACCACATAAATTTCATCACAAGGTCTGCTCAGGAAGTGGTTCCCTTTCATGACGGCTCCATCTCCATCAGTTGAATAATTCTCTTTCACTGAGCTAATTAAAAGCAAACCCAATATGAAAATAGCACAGTACAACGAAGCTGCATCTGCTATGGCTACTAATTGTGCTTTGGTGGATTTTCCTGATACTAAAACGAACGCCATAATTAATTAATTCGTGAGTTGAGTGTGCTTGAAAACAGAGGAAGAACAATGAGTTTTTTTTTTTTTAATGAAGTTTGAGAAGGGACTAATTATATATATAGAAGAAAATTGAATTTGGGTTGGGGAGGTGGGAGTTGGTGTTATTTTTAGTCGTGTTTGATGGTTAATGGTTTAGGCAGTTGAAACTCAAAGTCATATCAACTATATATTTCATCTCTATTTGGTCTACTTATGAAAATTTTGACTAATTAAATGCGCCATCTTCTTAAGGGATTTATTTTGATTGGAGAAAAATTATAGTGATGTAATTATGTTAATTTCTCACATATAGTCATTTATCTTAATGACTTTTTTTTTCTATTGAAGTCATTAAAGTAATTGCTCCAAATTTAAAATATATAAAAAAAAATATTAAATTATTAATTATTATGACTTATAGTATATATTTTAACCTAGTTTTTAAATATAGAAATTTTATTTTTAAAAAGTTGAAAATTTCATGTCAAAATATTCGATTATATTTAAATTGTTTGACTCTCGAAATTCGAATTATGTCAGATAAGTTTGAAATAGAGAGTATATTGGCTTCCCATGAAAGAAATTATAGTATATATGTCAAATAAATCCACTTTTAGGATTTCAAATTATGTCTTCCCTAATACATGGTAGATTATTCCTTATTAATCATATGATAGCTAGTAAAAATGCGAAAAAGGACACATTCCATGCATGAAAATAATAGGAATTGATATTAAATGATTTTGTTTACTAATCTAGAAAAAGAAAAAACAATTTAATATCAATATAAATACAAGTGGTGTTTTCTTTTTAAGTAGTTGACCAAATATTTTTTTTAGGGAAGGTGGCTATTAATTAGGTGTCCAAACCATTTGTTTGGTGAGATAAAATAATTTAGTGCGGGGAGTACTAAGATTTGTTCCTGTAGTATTTGAGCATGGATGGACACGTGGCGCATATATGAGGTTTTTGGTAATTTTGCCTCAAGTTATAGAAAGGTCACGCAAAGTAGATGAGTCATATGTTGTCCAAACCGCCATGCCATGTCATGTTTGAGTTTGGTTTCTACACGTCTTAACTTTATATCCAATATAAAGAAACTGCCACCTCCTTTTGTATCTAAAGGAGTCTGTCCAGATCATCGAGAAGAGTTTTGTCCAAGTTCAGATCGATTCGTTAAGTAGGAAGGACGATTTAGACAAATATAATCTTTTATGGATTGATAACATAATTAGGTGGTAGATATATGTTTTTTTATGTGATGTCTTATATGATAATTTGTGTTTTTCGTGATATTTTGTGTATCATTGGTAACGAAGGATCTATGTGTTTACTTGTTTAGTTTTATACAAGTTTAATTTATTTGTACACACCCAAAATTAGAAAATATAAATGTCAGTTGAAATCAAGTTAAATGACACATAAATCACATTTATGTATTATGAATAAATATTTATGCCAATTTTTCATTCTTTTTTTGTCATTGTTTAGATTTTGACCTCATTAAAATTTGGCCTTTTAAATATATCCTCCCAGCCAAATTTACTTTATACCTTTTTAGATGATATACATTGATTATACAAGATCATAAACATGTTATATCTCTTATTTAATGAAAGAGTCCATCGCTTGCTTTAGTAATCTCAAATAAGGCGTGCAGGTTAATAGGTGATTCACTGTCGAAGCGAAGACAATGTTGGATCAATCAAAGGGAATATTTTTGTTGGTTATATTTAATCTAAATTATTAATTAGGTGGATGACTATTTAGAATATTTTTTTTTTCTTAAAAAATTAAGCAGATAATAATCATTTCACCAAAATCAAAAGCGAAATCATAGAGTGTCCGTAAGAGATTGCCTTAATAGCAAATTATGGTGATCGTGGATTTTTTTAGCTAATTCCTGATAATCACCATAACATGTTATGTGCATACAAATTGACCAATGCAACATGTTATGGCCATTTGGGACTTGGCAATTTCAATTGACCATATATAATGGATTGCCAAATTATTTTTTTATTTTTGGCAGAGATTTTATTGATTCATCACGATCATCATATAATTTGTTGTATAGAAATTTGAGCTCCATACATTTTCTTTAAAATTGATACAAATTGTTCAAATCAACTTCAAACTTGACATGATTCAACCTTTTAATTACCAATTTCAATCATTTTCAACTGTCAGATTCAACTCAAAATCTTCAAAAATTAATGATCTCACTATATCTTCTCCTAAAAAAATCAACAATAGTAGTGTTGTCTTTCAACCAAAAATTTTCAAAAGAAATAATGAGTGTTGGATTTATATTTTTAAAGATGTGGACTAGCAGAAGAAACACGATCGGTGATAAGTTTTTTTTAGTTAATGTTCTCAATTTATACTCATCAGGCAATTCTACAATAACAAAAAAATGTAAGGACATATATATCACCTGAGACATCTCAGGTTACTATATTCAGTCCATGATAAATAAATGCCTAATACATAAATATGTCTTTTAATTTGGCCATATTTAATATTAATGTTCTTCAATTTTTGGTGCGCACAAGTAGACATTTAAACTTGTACAAAGTTGAACAAGTAGACACACCAATCCCATGTGACATAATACACGTAGGATATCATGTCGGACTCAAATTGTCATGTAGGGTGTCACGTAAAAACGTGTGTCTATTTGTTCAACTTTATACAAATTTAAGTGTCTACTTATACACACCCAAAATTGAAGAACATAAATATAAAATGAGATCAAATTAAAAGACATATTAGTGTGTTATGCCTTAAATAAAATACAAAAGATATTGATGTTGGATCAACTTTTGTCTTGTGACAAGAATTGTGTGAGGATAAATTTTTCTTTTTTCCATGAGTGTTATTAGGTTAAACTATCCCAAAAATATTCTTAACATTGTATTACATGTTTAAATCAAACTAGCACAATTTTCTTCAAAAAGTTGTGCACCCAACAAATGCTTATTATGGATCCTAACAGGTACCGGCAAATGTTGCCAAATTAAATGAGTAACCTAATTTATCAAACTTTAACCAACCTTTAATTGGAAAAAAATTCCAACTAACCGTAGCTGACCCAGTCATCATTCAAGTCTTTTCAACAATTTTGGCCAAATGTAATTTACTTCATTTCAGACAACATACATAAGCATCAGTTTCAACAGAAATTGTCAAAATTCCTAACACTAAAGGCACGCCAAAAAAGTGTTGCCCATATTTTATGGTTAAGACCATGACTTTTTCATTAAAATTGCCCATGAAATATAAAACTAAACCAACAAAATTTGAACAAAACCCTAAGGAAATGACTTCAGGAGTTAAAACTTCACTTTGGTCCTCTATTCTTTGGTGAATTGTCAAAAAATTAAATACTATATATTACTAATAAATTTATATAAAAAGGAAAGATGACTTTGTCAAAAAGTTTTAACGTAAGAGTAAAAGTCAACTCTTAACTACAATAGACCCACTAAAAACTTGTGGCTTTAATTATTACCATAGGTAAAAACTTATTTGTTTACGTCAAGTCGAACTCAACTCCCCTCCGATATGGATACCCTCGTGTTTTCATATCTTTAAGCAAGTAACATCTGTCCACTTAATTATTCGATCAATGGTCTAAAATTAATATCCTCAACTAACTGTCTAACTATGCTTGAGAACCAATAACTCAAGCAAATAGTTAAGAGGGATAAGTACTTTAGATCATTGATTTTGTAAATGGCCAGGTGTTGCTCGTTTAAGGGTGCATTGAGGCAAATTTAGGGGATCCATACGGGAGGAGTGTCAGTCCCTTCGGATCAATACATACATGTCATATATTTGAATATGATATATAGTCATAATTAATTATCTGCTACAAACATATTTAATAATAATAATAATTGTATTAATTTGACATAAACACGTACAGGTTGAGCCGCAGTACTCATCAATCATCCAACGAAGGAAGGAAATTGAGTTTTTTTTTTATGTGAATTGTGGTATAGGGAAAGCCTCTTTATGTAGTAGTTGTCTTAACGGGCATCAAAAGTGAAGATTCTTTATGTTGTCACTGCCTTTAATGCCCAACAACCTTTGTGCAATCACAATCTCAAATCTGGTTCAACCGTGTTTGGCACGGAAAAAAATATTTTTAAAATTTTCTCTGTTGGAAATATTTTCTTTAGGAAAAAAATTCTTAAAAATAAAGAAAGTAACTTTCTGAAACGGGGAAATCAAGTTTCACAAATAACATTTCATATCAATTATCTCCCCCCCTATCCTTCAAATCCCTAGAGCACCCCCTTGTTACCACAAACAAGTTTCATAAGTGTTTGCCTAGATTATATAAAATATTCTTGAGACAATATTTCTCTCCAAAATTCTTTTCAAGAATACATCATAAAAATGAGTAAGTAAAAAAAAAAAAAAAAGTTTAAATTTATATAAAATATTCTTGAGACAATATTTCTCTCCAAAATTCTTTTCAAGAATACATCATAAAAATGAGTAAGTAAAAAAAAAAAAAAAAGTTTTAATTTTTTTAAAAAAAACTAAAATCACAAATTTGAAATTGAAATTCTACCTATATGAAGATTCAGAATTTAAAATCGAAGTTTTGTTTAAATATCATAAACAAACACAAATTTATCAAAACTTCAAATTTGAAGTCCAAATTGCATGATCAAATGGTCCTTAAAATAAAGAAGAAAGAAGGAAACGAGTTCAAAGCAAGTAGTATATATATACATATAAGTATGTAAGTCTTCAATTTCTGTAATAATTTATGCTCCCCACATGACTTTATTTCTATACATATACAGAGCAATTATTCAACATATATTTGTTGAGGCTAAAAAAGTAAAATGTTCCACCAAATTAAGTACTATCTCCATGACTTGTTATTGTTGAAAGGAACAATCTTAATGACAAGTCCAGGAAAAACATCATCAGGATCATGAATATGTGGATTCCTTTCAACA